TGTAGAGTTAATAAATGGGTAAAGAAATATGATATATATAAGCTACCATGTACATAGTAGCTTCACAACACATCATATTGTTGTTGTAGGGCCCAAACACATGCCACCCCAAGATGTACTGCTTTGACTTGCACCTTATTTTGAGCTAAAAACAATAAAGGACCAAAGACTCAGAAAGAAATTAGACCTTCTTTCTAACTACAGAGAAAGAATTTAGAAAGAGGACCTGCTTCATTATAATATGAACTAGAGATCTACAGCTGTGGAGGAATTTAGCAAAGTCTCTTTGTTAAAATTCCTCTCTATGTCCATGGTTTCTGTGCGGCCTAGCAAACATTTGTTTACCAAATATTTACTCTTTCATTATTCCTGTGAATTTCCTTCCCTTTGTAGTCCCAATCCTCTAGCCCCTTCTTGGTTCAGGATGACATATATACCTCTGTAGCTCTGGGCCAGAGGGAGCTCCCAGCTCTGAGCAAGTTCATTCTGTATTCTCTGAGACCAAATAACAGCAATGGAGCATTAGGGGTAAAAGGGTTTATACCATCTTTATCCTCACAGTGTTAGATCAAGTGCTAGAATCATCTGCATCCAGCGAGTCTGTAAAGCACAATTGCCTCAGCCTTTGCCTCCAGGCAGAGCACTGGGAGGAACTATTTATGCAACACCAACAACAATGGCTCTTTGCCAGCGGGTGTGTAAGCATTAGCCTAGCAGTAGGCTAATGACATCATCAAGTAGTTTAGGGATAGGTGAGAATCTTGGCCATAGGAACTTCCATTTCCCCACAACCTCATATTCTCTGTCTTTGGAATCTCAAGTCTGGACTCTCCATAAATATGTATGTAATTAAATTTGGTTTCCTCTTGTTAATCTATTCCTTGTCAATTTGATTCTTAGACCAGCTAGAAAAATCTTTGAAGGGTAGAAGAAAACTTTTTCTTCCCCAGCACTGTTTTGGTATTATATTTAAGCTGACTTCTATACATACTTTCTTAAGTTTTCAATTTATGGAGTCTGAATAAATGAAGTTTTATAGAATTGACAAATTAGGACAACTCTGAACAGAGTATTGATATATAACTTATTTTATTACAGAGAGGCTGCCTATAAACATTTGCTAAGTTTTAGTTCTCTTCAAGAACCCTCAGCCAATGAAATCTTGTCATTACAAATTAAATTTTATTTTCTTGCAACAATTTTTGAATAACTCATCATCTGAGTAGTTGAACTAACAAAAATGATGAAAAAATATGCAGATACATAAAACTAAAATTGTTATTGGTAATATTGGCTATTGGACTTTGAAATGACTATTCCGATAATAGCTATATAGAGACAATGAAAGTTCCTGTGGCCAGGTTCTCACCTGACCTTTCCTGCTTTCCCACTGCACATATGTGGGCATGTGGGCAATATTAATGACCCAGGGCTCTATGTCTGCAAGAGAGCAGAGGGTGGAGTGGTGGCCACATCTAAATAGAGACTGAGACAGCTGCTGGGGTGGAGAGGCCCAGAGGCAGAGACCGGTTTGCTGCACACAGACTTGCCTGTAGGCGGACGGAATGCTAGTTCTTGATCTGCCACTGCAAGAGTAAAGCTTAGTATAAACTCTTTTACCCAAAACATTCTGTTTTTGTGATTTGGACTCAGAACTCAGAGTGAACTTGCCCGGGACTGAAACCTCTGACAAGACAATTGGCATAGTCGGTAGGATTCACTGATGGGATTAGCTGCCCTAATGGGAAGAGTACTTCAGCAGGCTACCCCTGTGGATGGGGAGATACCCAGGTATCCCCCATTGAGCATATGGTCTGAGATGGCTGTCCTCCTAGAGGAATGGGCACCCCCCAGGACTGGGAGGAGGTGGAGGTGATACCTGGGGCAGCGTTGGAGGCCCTGCACAAAACTGGTAAATCTTTAAAGAAACTTAGTGCCCACATAGTGGTGGGAGCTGTGGATTGGTATTTCTCACAATGTTAAGAAAGGCCATAAAGGAGTAGGACATACTCCTTTAAGAAGGACATACTCCTGCAAGAAGTACAAGAAGAGACAGCACAAGAACACAGGGTATGAGGTGCTGTAGAGAAGGTAAAAGATGTGTTAAAAACTGATTTGGCATCACTGCAAGGTGTGTTAGAAGGAGTAAAGGATGTAGTAGCAGCATGAGAACTCAGGCTGCAAGGCCTTGTGCAAAAGGTAAAGGATGTAGTGGTGCCAACAGCCCTGGAAATGGTGGAGGATCCAGGGAAGATGAAGGGGTTGGAAATAGTGCTGGAGGCATCGACCCCTCCTCTATTGAAAGTTCACCCAGTTGCAGTTAAGGAAATAAAGACACAGCAACTGCAGGTTCCTCCAGTAGAAGTGTAGCCTCTTCCCCAGGTCATGGAGCATTCCACTTTCCACCCTTATATACATGTGGAACTGGTGGAATTGGGCTCCCGGTTTCGGCAGAAGCCCTTGGAGTCCATATCATCCTAGCTTCTGTGTCTTTGGGATGCAGGTGTAAAAAGTATTTTCCTGTGTGTATCAGAGATGGGAAAGCTGGCTTCCCTGACAACTTGTCCTGTCTTGCAACAGCAACTGCAGAGTGCATGCCAGACCCCAGAGACCCATTCCCTTCTTGAATGGTTGCTAGTCTCCCTTTGTACTATATGATCTAATATGGGTGACTTACCATCTTCTCCTTCCAGATGGTAAATGTATGCCAAGCTCCAACAGGTGTTTAAGGAGTTGGGCATGAAAAAATGCCATTTATAATCCAGGAAATTATGGCCCAGAAGATTGAGAGTGGAATACAGCTGGAATGACCACTTGGTGGCATCGATCTTCTCAGGCTTGAGAATTATTATAATTTCTGTTGTTATCTGTATATTTTTGTTATTTTTATATCATCACAGCCTCTGTTGTTATTGTGGAATTTGGTTACAGTGTTCCAGCTTTCTCACACAGGGACCATCACAGAAGATTGAAGGCTCATAGAGTGTGAGGTGAGAATCCTTGAGGGGTGGAGTGTAGAGAAAATGAAAGTTCCTGTAGTGAAGATTCTCTCCTGACTCTGGTCTGCTCTCCCACTGCACACGTGTGGGCAGTACATTATTACTGACTCTATTATAAAGAGCTCCTCCCAATGCTCTGGGCTGTGCAGCTGCAAGAGAGCAGAGGCTGGAATGGTGGCAGTGCCTGGGGCAGAGACTGAGATGGTGAGATGGCTATGGGGACAGAGAGGCCCAGAGGCAGAGATTGGCTTGCTGCATGTAGACTTGCCTGGAGACAGATAGGATTCTAGCCCTTGACCTGCCACCACAAGAATAAAGCTTGGTATAAACTCTTTTGCCCTCAATGTTCCATTATTGTGATTTGTTGTCCAGGACTGAAACCTCTGGCAAGACAAGCTGTAATTAGTTGATCTGCTAGGTAGATGGAAAGTTACCAAACTCAATGGTTATATGGAAATACTGAGGTTTTGTTGGCCTTAAAAAAGTATAACTTACGATGGACGTAGAGTTTTATACCGTTTAGCTTATAGGTTTGGGGATTTTTGTTTTTATTTTGGTTGTAGGAGGTTGGTTGGTTTGGCTTTTTCAGCAGATTTCAACTTAATATTTATTATGGTACATTATAGGTAAATATTTGTTCTCAAGTGAGAACTTATATCTCTTACTGCGAAATATTTTCAAAGAAGAGAATCCAAATGTATTAGGATTTTTGGTATTTTAAAATGGTATATTTGTGCTTATTCTGTATTTGGAACTAAATGCGTTTACAACTGAGAAGCCTTGTCATGCCATAGAATTACATTTCAGTTGATTGTTTTCCTTTTAAAATATTTGAAGAAAAACAAAAGCATTATTTCAAGACTACTTTGAAGTTCCAGATAGGACTCACACTATCTCATTACAAGATAATAAATTAGTTGAATTTATTATAATTAAATAACTGAAGATGAGGAAACCCATTAATGTTGTAGCCTTTGCAAAACTTTTTAGACAATTTTCCAAGAGTTTTAGATTTATCTAAGCTAAAACCACATTTCCCAAGGCTTTTTCTTGTTGAATTTTATTTCATGTATATGTTTTAATTTAATGTTTTAATTTCTATTTCATTTATACCATGAGTCATCAAAATACCTTATTATAAGCACTATTTTATGTCCAAAAATAATATATCTTTAAATAAAGTAATTTACTCTGCCTCAACTCCATCATTCTTAGTTCATCCCATTGCCCTGCCTACTTGTTCCTGTAGGACTTCTTACTATGTGATCATTTATAAAATGTATTTGTGCTTTGAAAGTCTACCTTCCATGAATAAAAACTCCATGAGGGCAGGGCTTTCACTTGCTACAGCTATAACTCCAGCCTTTACAGTCTTGCCTGTTACGTATCAAATATTCAATAAATATGTATAGAATGACTGATTGAAGCTTTCGTAGTAGGAAGTGTTTATTTCTCTAAAAGGAGTAGCATAGTTAAGTTTTATCAGTACATGATTAAATCAGTTACCAGTGCTTACATTGTCAGAGTGCTAGAGGTACTCAAGGGAAATCTTGCCTTCTTCACATATAAATGGGGTCAGGGGATGAGACCTTAAGAGTTCCAAGGTTGCAGTTTCTATTTCCATGTTGGCAAAAGTAGAGGAAAGGTACTGAATTCTTGCTGCAGCTACCCTTGTTTACAGTGGTCTGTGAGGCTCTGTGATTTCCTTTGCAGTTTTTGTTTACAGTGAAAGGCAAAAGGATATTTAAGTACTCTCTGAGGGGTGCTGTTATGTTCTGCTTTCAAACGTGGAGAAGTGTGGAAATTAGGTCACACTTCATGAAATTTAAATAACAAAACACCCTTACCTAGCTTAATAATACCCTCGTTCTTGTACTATGTTTTATTTTGCATGTAAATGGGAATTATTTTTGGTTTACTATAACAACTTGAGGTGTTTATTATTATTATTGTTCTCTCATTTTTGCGGAACTGACATTTTTTAAAATTCTTGTTCTTCAGAATGGATTGGGAAGATGATTATTCCCATAATTCTTTTGACTTTCATTGTTTGTTAAATTCATTTCCTGGAGACTTGGAGTTTAAGCAGATCTTCAGTGACATCGATGAAAAGATAGAACAAAATGCTACAAGGTAAATATTGCTAAATATTTAAAACAAGTTGGTTTCATGTTTTATTTATGGGACTTAGGTTAATTTTAGTTTCCTACTCTTAGCTAACTTTAGGCTTTAATTATCATTAATTTTCCTGAAAAAAATTAGATTATGTCCTCCCCCTAAAATTTAACTAATCAATGTCTCATTAGTACTTTAAATAAGACTGTAAAATATAGGCACTACCTTCAAATAGGTACATTAAAGTTTACCAAATTACTATTAATGATTTCTTAGAGTTTGCCAATATCGATGGACTGCCTTTTCATTAATACGTTTAGTTTATGGTTAAACGTTCTCATTTGATGGGTAAGCACAGAAATTAAAAATATGAGATTAAGATACTAAAATTGTAGTATAAGGCCATGGATTGCTTGAGTTGCTGAAAATAGAGCATTAAAAATTAGTTTTGTCTATGTATTGTTTGTCATTTTAGGTCTCCAGCTTACTTTGGAGACTAGGGACTCCATAGAGTTGCAAGGGCAAATTAAGTCTTTAGCAGCTATTCTAAAGTTACTGTTTCCAAGCACTGGGGGAGGCAGGGACAGCTAAGTAGTTATCCACTAATGCATATTCTTTGATAGAAAGGACTTTGTCATCTTATGTGTTTGTGGGCCTTAGAGTTAATTCACTTATTTGAGTCCTTTTGGTCAAAGGTTATAGTAATTTGTCTCAAGTGGGTTATAAATATGCAAACCACAGTAAAAAAATTCTGTTATAGAAAGATAAATAGTGTTTCCTTTTTAAAAATGTAAGGTATAGTTATACTGAATTGTCAAAGAAACTGAACCAGGCAAGTGATATGTTCCTATGATTTTTTCCCTCATTTTATATGCAAGTACAGTTAATTTTTCATCATATTAATGGGCTAAATAACATGAATTTAAAAGAGCATACTGTTGGGGAATTATAATTAAAAACAAAATCTTCTCTCATCCCAGAAATCCTCTTCACAAAGGCAGAAGAGAAAGAAAACACTTATTATTCAACAGGCATTAAACCAGAATGCAATGCACATCACAGGCAATCTGCTCATAGAATGCAAAACAGAAAGGGTTTCACCCCCTTTATATAGCCTAGTAGTTGTGACTCATTACATACATGTTTTCAAGATAAACAATAACTAGTCTTAAGAGGATTGCCAGCACGTTTTTTCACCCATAGTTCATCCTAACTTTACCATGGTTAAAGAACACCTTGTGTTTAGCATATGGGCTTTATCCTGAGGAGAAACTTCTCATCTTTATGAGGAGAAGTAGTTTTATAAATTAGAAGAAGGCACACACTGAAGTTAGACTCCTACTCATCCACAGGAAGTGGGAGATAGGAGAGCTATCTCTCTTGGAGTTTGTATTTTGAGAAGATGGCTCCCTGGTTCTTGAGAAAAAGTGTCCTGGCTGAAAAAGCTGACAAAAGCCCCATCTAGTCTTCCAAGGGATACATTTCAAAGAGATGAAAAAGAACTTACACATTTCTAAGCTAAATACTTTAAGAAAAAAGAAGGGAGGGAATTCTGTTTACTTATTTTCAATGGGAGAATTAAACCTCTTATTTTAATTTGTTTTTGCCCTTACTGTCTGTCTGTCTACCTACAGTTTTAAAAAGGGCATATATAAAAATTACTTTACCATACTATAGAGTATACAATTTGTATATAAATAGAAAATAACTTTATTAAACTTCGATGTAATTATGTATTTATGTAATTTATGTATTACATATTTATATATTACATGACAGTTTTTAAATCAAAAGAACTTATAAATGAAAATGGCATCAGTTTAAATAGATTAATAAGTCATTTGTCTAAATTCCAGAGATGGTTATAGTAAAATAAATTTTAAATAACTTTGAAAAGGTGACCTCTGATCTTACTAGGCTGATGGACAGTGACTGCAATGGGGTGTGGGGGGGGACTTGGTAATATGGGTGAATGTAGTAACCTCAATGTTGCTCATGTGAAACCTCATTAAGATTACATATCAATGTTACCTTAATAAAAAAAATTTGCATGAATGGAAAAGAAAAAGGTGACCTCTGTTCATAGTGGCATTTAGGTTCCATCAGAACAAATTTCTGATGCTTTTGTTATAGACTTCTTCGTTTTATTTGCTAAACCATCTGTGGTTAATTTTCTGCCCTACCTGAGAAATCATATTTAGGAGTAAAACAGTGATTAAAATAGTATACTTTGAATTCATAAATTGTTATTTAGGTCAAAATTCATATGTTATTAAAAAACATAACATGGAATATAAGGATATAATTTTTAAATTAAAAATATTTTATTGCCCATATATTAAAGCAAACCTGGAACAGAACCACCTCAAGTGACCATTGATCTTCACAAGGTTGATAAAAAAAGGGAGTAGCTGTATGTGCTGTATGCTGCTTGATTTAGAATCAAGTCTATTTTTCATCAAATTCAATTATGTTTTTATTATACTCTAGAGAATAAACATAATAGTACAGGGTGTATATATTTTAAAAAATAAAATACTGAATAATAACCATGGTTCAGAAGAGCGTAAATCATTTATGCATTCATTTATTGCCTTCTAACAGAATAGCTTTTAGAAAATTGTATGTCATGACGAATCAGTTATGCCACACTTACACTGCAATAGTTGAATTACCCTTGGCATTTTTGTATTCTATCTGTTCTATTTATCTCTCAGTGGTGTACATTGAATAAGTAATGATCATCTGTATGATGTGGGTTTTCCCAATGTTTTAAAAGAAAAAACATTAGTAATTCATTTTTAAATATGATATTTTTCCTTATCCTTGAATTTTTAAAGTTATATTTCTATCAGTGACCCTGAATTCTAACTGTAAATTCCTTCCCTCTTCCTAATATCATCAAGTTTTATGAGCCACAGGGTCTTTTGCTTCCCCAAAGCAGTGATTCAACAGAATGGACCAGAGTGCCCAGAGGTCACTGAACCTTCACCTTCCTTTCAAGAGAAGCTGTTATTCTCTCAGACCATTTTCACTCTTACATCCTTGTTTCTATTCAAGTTAGAGCTAGGTGACTCTTAGGTCTGACAGTAGAAATCAGTGATAGTGAGTCTCTTACTTTTAACACACATCAAAAGTGGTAACAAGAAGGTAAATAACCTGCCAAAAAGGAATAGCATGAATGTTTCACCCACAGACTCGGTTCACTAACTGAAAACTGCATATAACACTGAAGTATTGTTTGAGTTGAATGGAACTTACTCATTTAACAAGATAGAGAGATACAGAATTTTTCTTGGACTTACAATATGACATAAAGTGATTATTCTCTTCTTAGTGTTCAGTTGGATAGATGTAATTTTATCATTAAGATTTCATTTTACCTTTCTGTTTCCTAATTATAGACAATCTTTATGTGTCCCTCAGGACATAAATTTTTCTGGTACTGGTGCAGGATTACTATGTTTTTTTTAACCTAGAGAAAGAACAGGGAGTGCTATCATGCCTAAAATTTGTCTTAATCCAGGAGATTTAGTGTGGGGATGGAGGAGGGACATTAACTTTATATTTTGACAGTTACATTGGATATATGGTTTCTAGAAGTTTAACCATGGAGTATACATATTTCATACATACACTTATTTTTTATGTAATGCTGAAATTCTTGAACTTACATATTAAAATTTCTTTACAGTTTTCCATTTATAGTCTAAAGGCCTGAAAGAAGTAACCAAAAGAAATCTTCAAATATGCTATCAAAGACTACTGTATATTATAATTCCTGGCAGTAGTTTGGCACTTACAAACAAGAGGGGTTCTCACAGAATCCCTACCTGTTCTCCTATCTTACTGAATAGGACCAGGCTGCTTGGAAAGAAACCTGAAAGGCCTCCCCACCCATCTTTGAACTCAGACTAAGGCCTAACCAGCCACTTTTCCATTCCCTCTGTCTGGGCTCTTTGAGTACTCTTGTTCCCCTCAGAAATTAAAAATGCCTCCAGGCAGATGACACTCCTGGGCCTCTGCAGCTCTGGCCTAAACTTTCTCTGGCCTCATTCATATATCCTACCTTTTAAATATCTCCAATCCTCCCATTGAAGCTCTCAACCAGAAGTCTGGTGATCCATGCAGGTAGAAATGGGGGTGAGTGGGAAGGAGACAAACCACTCTGTTTCATGGTGGCGTATTCAACCGCTTTCTCCTCATCATTTTCTTTCACTATAAGCTTCATTATTTGAATGCCTCTGGAGTTCTTAACTCTTCTCCACAGTCCTACAACATGCATCCTCAGTGCTTCCCTAAGACCTCTGCTTTTGGAGGCTGAGATGAGTAGGGTAAAATGTGGGGTCAGTTGCTCTATGAAATGGTTTTTAAGCAGTTCTTTCAAGTAATACATACATTTTAAGTGTCTGACCTTATCTGAAGTATAACTTTTATTTTTACATGTGTTACTTTCAGCTGCTCTTGGCCAAATAGGCATAAGGTAATAAAGAAATACTGCTTGAGGATATTCCTAAGGAATATTACTGTAATTGTCTTTCGATGGGAAATAAGGAAAGGGAAGCAAGTGTCTGCCAGTTTACAAACTATTATGGTAACAAAAGCATGAGTAATGTTATAGTACAAATCCAGACCTGATGAGGAGGTTGAGTCAAAGATAGGCCACTATTTTCCAGAGAGTTAATTGGCCAGTGGGAAGTAAGGCCCCACTCCTGAGGTCATAACCTGGGGTGTGCCTTTGAAGACCTGGCCCTGCTCTGAGCACAAGAACAGGTGAGGGAATACTAAAGAGAACTGGGCCCTAGTAATGAGGTGTGGCTTGCCCATTTTTCCTGTTAGATGACTGATGCCTTGAGATCTAACCCAATCCTGCTGCATTTCCCTAGTAAACAGCCTTGCCAGGGATCCAGCAGAGTTCTTAACACCTTGTCTAAAAAAGGGTCACTAACACCACGCCTTTGCTAATTATAATCCTAATTCTGCAGTGTCTTAACTAAGAATATCATATGGGAGCTGCA